TGGGGGACAGGTCTGTCACTGTATAGCACTGGGGTACAGTACCGGTGAGGACAGGTCTGTCACTGCATAACACTGGGGTACAGTACCGGTGAGGACAGGTCTGTCCCTGTATAACACTGGGGTACAGTACCGGTGGGGGACAGGCCTGTCACTGTATAACACTGGGGTACAGTACCGGTGGGGGACAGGTCTGTCGCTGTATAACACTGGGGTACAGCACCGGTGGGGACAGGTCTGTCACTGTATAACACTGGGGTACAGCAGCGGTGGGGACAGGTCTGTCACTGTATAACACTGGGGTACAGCACCGGTGGGGACGGGTCTGTCACTGTATAACACTAGGGTACAGTAGTTGTAGGAACAGGTCTGTTACTGTATAGCATTGGGGAAAGAGATGGAAAATGAATGGTGTATCACAGGGAGGGATTGGTACAGGAATGGGAGTGCAGGTGGAGGGTTAAGGCTGGGATGAATGGGGAGGTGTTTGTCTGGAGTGCGGCGCTTTGATGGCACTGGGGAGGTGCTGCTGTGGTTTCTCACTGCAATAGCTTCCTAGAGCATTCAGGAGCTGGAAACCAGGATAAGAAAGTACAACAGAGGAACAGGTGTGTATTTGTTGCTAAATATGAATTTCACCTTATTTTCTGTTGCATGTTTCTCTTTTTCTACTTTGGCTAGTGTGATTTCCAAATCATCAATGTCTTTCTTCAATTCTGCACACTCATCCTCGAGTTTGCGTTTCTTGGCAGTCAGTTCTGCATTCATCTCCTCCTCATCGTCCAGTCGCTCTGTTAGCTCCTTCACTTTCGCTTCCAACTGGATCTTAGCTTTGATCAGAAGGTCACATCTCTCTGATGCATCAGCAAGATTGTCTTGCTCCTAGAAACAGAAAGCACACAGAGTATGAGATCAGTTTCCCCAGAACCAGACCTAAAGCACTATACGCCAGGGTTCGAAAGAAGATCACTGAGGAGACTATGAGTGACAGAAACAAGAGGCTTTCTCCTTAACCAATGAGATTCATTTGGGGGTCAGTTAGGAAATCAAATACAATATTAGCATTATTTCAAGAGGGCTAGAATACAAGAGCAGAGATGCGCTGCTGAGGGTCTTTCAGGCTCTGGTCTGACCAAATTTGGAATGTTGTGAGCAGTTTTGGGCCCCGCATCTAAGGAAGGATGTGCTGGCAGAGGAGGTTTACAAGAACGATCCTGGGGATGAAGGGCTTGTCATGTGAGGAGCAGTTGAGGACTCTGGGTCTGTACTTGATAGAGTTTAGAAGGATGAGGGGGGATCTCAGTGAAACTTATAGAATACTGAGAGGCCTGGATAGAGTGGGCATCGAGAACTTTTCCATCAGTAGGAGAGACTTGAACCTGACAGCACAGCCTCAGAGTGAAAGGATGACTTTTTAGAACTGAGATGAGGAGGAATTTCTTCAGCCAGAAGGTGGTTAATCTGTGAACTCATTGCAAGTCATTGAATGTATTTAAGACCGAAATAGATAGGTTCTTGATTAGTAAGGGATCAAGGGCTACAGGAAGAAGTCAAGATATGGGGTTGAGAAACTTACCAGCCAATTTTCTGAAGAAGGGTCTAGGCCCGAAACGTCAGCCTTCCTGCTCCTCTGCTGGTGCTTGGCCTGCTGTGTTCATCCAGCTCTACACCCTGTTATCTCATGACTGAATGGCAGAACAGACTCGATGGGTCTGGAGTGGGTAGGACTGAATGTCACTTGGGAGTATTCTGTTCTGAGTGTTAAATGAGGTAGTCACTGCTCTTATTGTTCTGCTTAAGATGGGGCAAAGGGGTCATGGACGCTAAATTTACCGATGACACGAAGATCAGAAACTAAGTTGTGAAGAGGACATGGGGCTACAGAGGGATACAGATAGATTCAGTGAGCAAGCAAACATCTGGTAAGTTAAGCATAATGTGGGAAAGTGTGAAATTGTCCACTTTGGCAAGAAGAATAAAAAAGAAACATTGAAATGGTGAGAGATTTTGAGCTCTGAGATGCAAAGAGAACTACATATAAGTGCATGATCACAAAAGGTTAGTACACAGGTCCAGTGAGTAATTCGAAAGGTCATTGGAAAGTTGGTCTTTATCACAAGAGGATCTGGGGACAGGAGTAAAATAAAGTCTTGCTTCAATGATATGAAACACTGGTTAGACCGCACCCACAGCATTGTGTTCAGTTCTGGCCCCTTGCCTAATGAAGGATGGACTTGCCACAGAGGGAATGTAGTGGAGGTTCACCTGAATGATTCCCGGGAAGGTGGGACTGTCCTATGAGGAGAGACTGAGGAGACGGGGCCTGGATTCTATGGAGTTTAGAAAAATGAAAGGAATCTAATAGAAACTTACAAAATTCTCAAAGGACTAGATGGAGTCAATGCAGAAAGCATGTCTCCCCTGGCTGTGTAGTCTAGACCCAGGGGAAACAGTCTGTGAGAGTGATGAGGATAAGGAGAAATTTCTTCACTTACAGCCATAAAGCCATTAAAAATAGGAACAGGCCCTTTGGCCCCTTGAATCTCTCCCCTTTTCAATAGGAACCATGGCTAATCCGACATTCCTCACGTCCACTTTCTTGTCCTTTCCGCAGAACCCTCAATTCCTACAAGACCAGAGAATAGTGGATCTTTGGAATTCTGTCTCTCAGAGGTTTTGCAAGTTTATTCATTGGCAGAAGTTTATAGATCCCTCATTGCTGATGACATCAAGGGGTAGGGGGAGAGCACTGCAAAGGGCATGTGGGTAGATGATCAACCATGATCTAGAACGGTAGAGCAGACTCAGACTGAATGGCCTCCTCCTGCCCCTGTGTTCCTAATTAGACATTATTGTTTACTGTGAGGGGATTGAATACAAAATTAGAGAGGTTATACTTCAATTCTACAGAGCACTGATGAGACTCCTCATCTGGAATACTGTGGAAGGTTTTGGTCACATTAATTGAGGAATAATGTAAATGTAGCAGCATCTGTGGAGAGAAAACTGAATTAATGTTTCAGGTTCACTGACCCTTCTTCTGGACCCAAAACGTTAACTCTGCTTTCTCTCTACAAATGCTGCCAGATCTGCTGAGTTTTTCTCACAATTTCTGTTTTTGTTTCTGATTTCCAGAATCCACAGTCTTCTGGGATTTTTTTGTAAGGATGATCAGAGCAGATCAGAGAATGTTTATTAGACTAATAACTGGAATCGGTGAATTACGTGGAAAGGTTGGATAGGTTGGGCTTATATCTGCTGGAGTGTAGATAAATAAGAGATGAATTGATTGAAATATATAATACAAGGAATATAAGTCATGATGCTTCCTTTTGTGGAAGAATCTAGAACTCAACATCACTGTTTCAAAATTACCCTTTAGGACAGGGATAAGGAGAACTTTATCCTCACAGCGGGCTGAGTATGTTTGGAACTCTCTTCCTCAAAAGATGGGGAAAACAGAATGTTTGAACATTTTTAGGACAGAAATGGAGAGACTCTTGATCAGCAAGGAGAGTGAAAGGCTATTAGGTGATGTCAGGAACATGGAGTAATCAGATCAGCCATGATCTTATTGAATCAAGGAACAAGCTCGAAGGGACAAGTGGCCGACCCCTGCTGTGAATTTATCTGGTTATATGTGCTCTCACAGTGGCCTTCCTGTGGCCTCTCTCTCTGTAATCCAGCAGCAGTGAAGTCGGAGGCAATTGGCTCAACTGAATCAACCCAACCCATTTGACACAAACCCGTACAGACAACGGAGGAGGTTTAAACTAAGAATATGGAATTGGCAACAAACACCATTTCTTCGATCTGCTCCAAACTCTGCAGGAATTGTAATTTCCAGTTGGTAGCAAAGCAGGTTCTAAAACAGCTTTATCCACAGGGACTGAACAGTGAATTCACTGTCACCCAATTGTAACCCTTTATCAATGGGGGGAGGGGGACAAGGTGATCACTGAACAATCTTGAGTCAAATTGCCAGGAGATTCTTGGAGTTGAAAGAGCCCCATCCACTGAGTGAAGGTCCATGGGAGGGATCAGCCCCTTACCGCCTGTAGCTGAAGGGACAGATCATTCTTCTCTTGGATCAGAGTGACTTGCTTCTCCTCCAGCTCCTTGCGTTTGGCCTCAGACTTGACCAGAGCCTCTTTCAACTTCAAGAACTCATCTTTCAGATTTGCCATCTCTTTCTCAGTCTCTGCGCTCTTCAGTAGAGGTTTAATCTTGAAGAAGAGCTTCATCCAGGACCAATTCTTCACTGCGTTGAAAGCACGAATGTTCCACTGAATAACAAGTAGCGCATCTCTGGTTCCAAAATGAAACAGAAATACAATTCAGTTTTATTAACAGAACTTTACCTTCAGACTATTAATAGAATGACATATTAGATTTTGTTAACTGCGTAACAGTTTGTGAACGGTTATCTAAGATGACACTTGGATGACAATAGTGGCTCAGTGGTTAGCACTGCTGCCTCACAGCACCAGGGGCCTGGGTTTGATTCCAGCCTCAGGCAACTGTCTGTGTGGAGTTTGCACATTCTCCCCGTGTGCGTGGGTTTCCTCTGGGTGCCCTGGTTTCCTCCCACAGTCCAAAGATGTGCAGGCTAGGTGAATCAGCCATGCTAAATTGCCCATAGTGTCCAGGGGTATGCAGGCTAGGTGGATTAGCCATGGGAAAATGGGTAGGGTAGGGCAGTGGGTCTGGGTGGGATTTTTTTTGGAGGGTCAGTGTGGATTCAATGGGCCAAACGGCCTGCATTCACACTGTGGGGATTCTATGACTGCAATGTGTTTGAGGTCAAGGTAGGGTTCGTAAAGGGCTGATGTGAAACATTTTCTAAAGTTCACTCTGAAACCTGATAGAATGCTGATCTTTACATCGAAAGAACTATTGCTGAAAAAAAAGATTCATTTCATCAAAGCTCTTTGTCTTGCACTCTCAGAACAAAGCAAACACCATCAAATTGTGTCAATGTTCAGCAATACTCGGGTTGGACTAAACACCTGGTGAATTAGAATCCACGGGGCTAGAGATCATGCTCCAGTTATAAACCAAGACAAGGGCAGCCTGAGAGCAGCACTAACATCACACCCAACAATGGTACAGGGGCCATTGTTTCAAAACCAGGGCTTACCCATTTGAGACAGAAATAGGGAGCAGATTACCTCACAGAGAGCTGCATGCATTTGGAACTCTCTTCCACAGAAGATGGTGAAGGGGGTGAAAGGTTATCAGGTGCAGGCAGGAATGTGGAGTAATCAGATCAATTGTGTTCTTATTGAACGGCAAAGCAGGCTTGAGGGGCTGAATGGCCGACTTCTACTCCTAACTCACCTGTTTGTACATTGACCATGGAGGGAACTCTGTGTGGATTTGCTACAATCATACATGAACCCCAAAGAGTAATCTACAAAGGGAGATTAGGCAAATTTGGAATTTGATTAAAGTTTTCAAAACATCCAGGGGACCAGACGGGGCAGTTTGTAAGAAATGATTTGCCGTGCTGAGGGGCTTATCTAGTGTTGGGGAGCAAGGTCATAGCCAGAGGTCTCTGCGGTGAAAGGAGGAGACACTGCGACACACAAAGGATGGTAGGCATTTGGAATTCTCCTACACAAGAGGCAACTGGCACGCAAACAATTGTTCATTTTAAATTGGCGATCATTAGATTTTTGTTTTCCAAAGATATTAAAGGATTTGAGGCAAAGGAGTGTTATGGACGTTATGGCTGATCTGTGACCAATCACATTGAATGGTGGAACAGGCTCAAGAGGCTGAACAGCCTCATTGTGTTGTGTTGTTTCTTGTTCAATGATTTCACTGAAATCAGCAGCGTATTTCTCTATCATACATTCTCCAAATGTGGAGGTTACTGACTCAGCTGCATTCTCTCTGATAAAGAGTGTGGGTTCAGAGTGAACCAGTTCTGATGTGGGCCTAAAGATGTTCTGAGTAGGTAAACACCAGCATCTTTCCAGGAAAGCTGATGTTTTGGGTCTGAACCCTTCTTCAGAAAGATTTCTGAAGAAGGGTCCAGACCCGAAATGTCAGCTTTCCTGCTCCTCTGACGCTGCCTAGCCTGCTGTGTTCATCCAGGTCTACACCTTGTTATCTCTAACTCCAGCATTGGCAATTCCTACTATCTCTGTAATGGTTAATGGGTCTTTTTCAGAAGAGGAATGTTTGTAGCGGAGTTCCCCAGTGTTGGGACCCCAGCTTTTCCTGCTATATATTAATGATCTAGAACTTGGAGTACAGGACACAGACTCAAACGTGGAACTCGGAAATATTGTGATCATGAGGAGAACAAAGTTAGTCTTCCCGAGGGAACGCAAGGGTTGATGGAGTGGGCAGATAGTTGACAAATGAAATTTCATGCAGAGAAGTTGAGATGGTTTACTTTAGAGAGACAGCATAAAATAAAGGGTACAAGGGTGATGCAGAAGCAGAGAGTCCTCAAATATGTCTGCAAATGTCTGAAGGTAGTAGACACATTATGAGAGTTGCCAATAAAGCAGACAGTATCTTGGAGCAAAGAGAACAAGAGTCAGAAGATGATGTTGAACTTGTGCAAGATTCTTACTAGACCTCAGTTGGAGTATTGTCTACAGTTCTGGGCATATGAAGGATATGAATACATTGGAGAGAGACTGGAAAAGATTCACAGGAATAGTTTCAAGGCTGAGGGATTGATGGGAGAAACAGTGACATCTTTTTGGAGAAATAAAGTTTGAAGGAGAGATGATCGACATGCTCAATATCTTGAGGGGTCTGAATAGGGGAGAATAGAAAGGAAGAAACTGTTTCCATTGGTGTAGGATCAGGAACCAGAAGGCACAGATTTAGGGACAAAAGCATTGGTGACATGACAAATAATTGTTCATGTCCATTATTGTTCATGATATGTATGAAAGATATAAAAGGAAATGTATGGGGGAATGATAAGTTCCAGATGATACAGACTGGCTGGGTGATTGACAGTGCAAATAAAAGTGTTAGGTTACCGGAGGATATACAGATTGCTTAGATGAGCAGACAAGTGGCAGATGGAATTTAACCCTGATCACTGTGAGGTGACGCATTTTAGAAAAAGGAAAAAGACAAGGGAGTACTCAGTGAATGGCAGGACATGAGGAAGCTTAGAGGAACGGAGAGATCTCAGAGTGCTCATCCCTGAGGCAGCAGAGCAGGTTAATTGTGCAGATAAAGAGACAA